TATCTATAGATCGCAACAGTAAAATAACGAAACGTAAGAATTGAAGATTGCAGATTGATGTGTGAAATTATTGCGCGCTTACACAGTTCTCTTCAATGTAGACGAGAGACTGTGTGTGATGCGGCCGAAGTGAGCTCACACATTCTAATTACTTTTTTCAATTATCTAAGAACAGGTACCTTTCGTATGTATTCGTATGTACTACTTGGTCTTACTCAGGTTAACATTCTCAAAGTTACTCGGCATTTCGTATGTAACTCTCTATATGCATGACACGACTGGAAGGAAAGTATTTTGGAGGAAAATATTTTGAAATTTGTGTCATTTATTTTTTTCTTCTTCTGGTTACTTTGAGAAGATGTTTAGCCGGTTCCTACTAACATTTAAGCTTTTATCCCCTGGAAGTATATAAACTTAATCTTGGTTTTATACTTCAATTTCGAAGATTATGACGATAGACATACCGATGAATATAACAAACGTAATGCTTCAAGTCACAATTACCAAAACCTCGTAATGTATATAGGCTATGTATAAGACGCAAGACGCAAGCATTACAAATGAAAAAATCAGATTTGTATTTCCAATGGTTTGTATAAAACTTCAATTTACTCTCGCTCTCTTTCTTTCACTCTTTTTTTCTCTATCGTATCCTTATCACATGGGTAAGAAAACTGTCTTCATATTAGATTCATGATCGAATTTTTTATACGCGCCACCGCGATCCTAAAAAAAAAAGGAAAAGAACTAGATTTCCATACCCTATAATATAGAATGGGCGTGTGGAAAATTTATATATATATATATATATATATATATATATATATATATATATATATATGTATATGTATTGGACTTTATGAGTAACAAGGAAAAAAGGACGAACAGTGACAGTGCGTTTATTACATGGACCGACAAACCATGTAGGCCTATGACAAGATCAAGTCGTTTTCAAATTCTTTAGCAAATTTTTAGGCGATCACCTTTACTTTTGCGAACGGGAGAGTATGTACCACACAACTGGCCAAAAATTTATAGTTCTTATGGGGCTTTTGAAGCTTGCTTCTGCTTTGAAGCTTGCATAGCATTTTCCTAGACGTGGTACAACATCACTCATAGAATCTACGTTCAAATTTTTGCAGATTTATCTCCTATAGTTGATCACTATTGAGCAACAAGCCAATAATTTAATCCTTTTAAAAAAAAAGGGGTTTTCTCAGTTTACTTGACACTATGGGCGTGTCACTCGACTGATTTGGCTCATTTTCAATACCAACCGGAGCGGAACAACTTTGAATGTTTCTGCTTAATTGGAGTCGATAGCTTGAGTACAACTGACCATACAGACAGACGGACGGGCATAATTGAATCAATTCAGAATTTAGTGCTAATATATACATATAAAGTGTCTCTGATGCTTCCTTCTGGGCGTTGCAAACGTTTCGATAAAATGGATATAGTGCTCATCCTACGTTGATAGGTACAAAAAAAGTTACGTGCTCGTAGTATACATGTGCGTTTGCATCGATATATAAATTTATTTTTCACATTACTCATTACTTTATATCAATTTATGTTGGCATCTTTATTGAACTTTTAATTAAATTCACGAAACTTTGTTTTCTTTGGTACGCAAGTAGTTGAGCTGGCTCAGCCACAATGGCAGCCATTTATTACAAGAATTTAACATTTCTTTTAAACCATGTTCGTTACGCGGAATTAATTAAGCTATTGTTATGCATGAAATTTATTCATTTACAGCAAAATCCCTTCAGATATTTTTCAATATCTAAAAGAAAAACTTTTGAAAGAAACCACGATCTCTCTCCCAAATCATTTCATGATTCCCAATCTATGTCAACCTCCGTAACGGATTCAATAAAAAATATTCAACAATACAAAGGAATAAATAAAAAGTTTAATATTTCGTTAAAGAGTAAACTTATGGAACATTATGCGTACACTTGTCGTCAAGTAGGAAAGGTACACTAAACCGTTTTTGCGTTTCCGTCACAGACTCTCGCACGCTCCCAGACGTGAGATCCTTCGTCATTTCAGAATCAGAATCTGTCTCTCAGGAGCTTGCTATTAATAATATTTAAGTTTTTCGTAAACAGATTTCGTTTGCAGATATATGAGGGACGAAAGTTAAGTTACAAGACGACCACAACCGCCTGGAGGATCAAATAAGTTTGTAGACAGTGACCTATTTGACCAAAGTCCACCCTAAACTCTCTCTCTCTCTCTCTCTCTCTCTCTCTCTTTTTTTTTTTTTTTGCTTGTACTCGTTAATAAAGCATTTAAAACTTCAGTATTGGAAAAAAGTGTAACTTTCTTTCTGGCTTTGTGTTGACACGAAACATAGTCTGCCCGGCTTTTCGGCAAAAAACTTTTTTTATACCTCACACCACACTTGCGGTAAGAGAGTATATTAGCATCTTCGATCGCACATACCGATCGGTATATTGTCACCTTCTTAATCAATTTAGGCTTGTTTGGCCGTCCATCTGTCCCTCTGATGTCTGTTCATGCTTTCTTGTATTTAATGTAAACTATGAAATTTTAGAGATATTTTAATAAAATTCGGTACGCAGACACGAACGCTGTTAAAAATAAGACTGATTGGAACACTTTTTCAATCACTTCCAATACAAGGCCTTATTTTGAAAGATCGTTATATGATTGAATGCGTTAAGCGAAGGTGTGTAGGATATGTAATGGTGAGCCGTGTCCTACCATAGTGTTCTTAATTGAATATTACTTTTTTTCAGTAATTTTTTTATACCCTACACCACTTGTGGCATAAGGGTTTACTAAGTCTGTGCGGATATATGCAATATCTAGAAGGACTTGAGATAGATCCGCCTTTCACTATATTGATCGATTCAGAATCACATTATGATCTAAGGTTTCAATTGCGATTGTCGTACAAATGTATTCAGGCAATTGAGTTGATTAAGCGGCGAGGGTTTGTATACAGTTTTCATATTTGAATGATTACTTTAGTATTGTACTCATACGATTATTATTATTATTATTATTATTATTATATTTTTTTTTTTTTGTTATCAACAAGAGACGAAACAAGTTAATAAGATTGTCGAAAAATAAATTTTTATTTGATTGTTTTTTGGTCAGGTATTTGCCAAGATTATTGTTATTTTTCTTGAAAGCAAAAGGGGCTTAGACTCTGGCAGAGGATATACAGCATTGCAGTTATTATCAATCGATTATTTCGATTCTTTGAAAGAAATCTGAGATATTTTTTTAAAGAATTACATATAGATGTAAGCACATAAGCCCGTGATCAACTCTGATTTAAATCTGTTTGTATGCTGCGCCCGTTTGAAGGACAACATTTTTACTAGTTCACTAAAAAGAAATATTATTGAAAATTTTGATCAATTTTCGTGTACGTATGCGAGGGAAAAATAAAAAAAAAAAAAAAATGCTAAATTTACATTTTTTCTTTAAGTAACTTTGCATTTCGATAAAGTTTATCGTTGTGAGTGTTGCTCCATTTCAATAGAAATTTTGCAATTGTTGCATGATTTCCATTTTGGAATATTTAACAAAAAACATCAATTTAACATAAAATTGAAAAAGGAATAAATAAATGGGGAAGAAACAAAATGAAAAAATAATAGTAAAAGAAAAGGCATAAGAAGACAAAGTATATATATATATATATATACTACAACGTACAGGGCAGGTATGTTTTTAAAAATGTTCAAAGAATGAAGAGATGCTAAGCTTATTGTTTTATGCCCATAGGAAATTATCGCAAGTGCATTAGCATTACATGTACTTGCACTTGTTATACAGTATTAATACTTAGCAGTCTGTGCGAGGCTGCTATGGACAAATCAATAAATGCATTCATTATACTTGAAAGTGTTGTACATAAATGTGTTCAGGTGCAAGTAAACGCAAAGAAATTTAACATTTATCCCAACGACTATTTTTCCAAATATGTTGTTGCAATAAGAGACGTTCGAGGAAGTGACGGAAATTCGATAAGTTGCAAATCGAAGATAGAGTAAAAATGTTTTTTTTTTTGTTTTTTTTTTTGCACTTAACGTATCTCAATAGATCAAATTGAACCCGTCTTCAATTCTGTATTATCGTTCCTTTACGACTTTTGCCTAGCCGTACACGATATTTTTATAATTTAGTTATGTAAGATGCACTTTACTCTGCTTTATTTGTGTTCGTCGATACATGTTTGCATCTCGATCAAGACGCTTATTAAAATATATCATAGATGTTATTTATGCTTTCGTTGCAAGCAAAAGGAAAAAAGTAAAAAAAGTAAGAACATTATAATCGGGGAGGGCCGACTTTTAAATACCCTACGCTGCGTTGTCTAATACATGTCGTATTTTCATCGTAGAACACAAAAGGCATATAAAGGCATATGAAGGCATATTTTTCATGTGCGTAATTATGGGGTAGCGGGTCCAAAACGCCAGCTAATGCCGTACAAGTTTAATACTTACATAGGGCAGAACCCAAAAGTAGGCGTAGATTTCATTTCTGTATGAAATAATTATAATAGTATGGGTCAAATACAAAGCTTAGACTTTTGTGCTCCACAAGGATCAATTTTGGTGATAGTCGTTATTAATGTAGGATTGGCATTTAAATTAATTTTTTTTCAAGTTAATTTACTATTATGATATAATTTGTTATGTGGCCTGGCATTTTCAAACTACTTTGAGAATTTTTTTTTATTATATTATATTATATACACACAGTTTGCCTTGAAGGAATAATAATAAAAAAAAATAAAAAAAATGGAAAAAAAGTAAGAAACAAAGTAATCGTGTTAGATATGAGTTTGAAAAAAATTTTTATGATTTCATTTTAAAAAGAATAATTTTGCTGAGATTAGATTTTATTTTTAAAGAATTTTAACAGAGAAAAAATATATACAAAAAAAAAAAAAAAAAAAAAAAAAAAATTAATAAAACAAAAAAGGAAGAAAAACATTGAAGAAAATGCGATATTTATACAAAGACGCCGATGAAAAATTTGTTAGGGAGAAAACCAGACGCGAGAAACATCATGTTCTAGACAGTTACCAGTTTCGTCTAAATAGCATGATTTGTGGTAAAACGGATTTCAATAAAAAAGATACACCGATCGTTTTTAAATGTACGCCCGATACGTTATTGATGTTATGCTCAAAAGTTGTCGATAACTATCCATTAATTTCTATATACGAATGGAATATCGAAGATATTTGCCGTTGGTTGAGACGCCGTGGCTATCCGCACTATCAGGTAAAAAAAATCATATAAAATTGAAATTCGTAAACTAATATTATCACCCTATATCGATATTAAATAGAATACCTTTCGTGAAAATCTTATCAACGGTCGCACCTTTTTGTTGCTAGATGTTTCAGCTTTAGCTGCCATGAATATTAAATACTTTGATCATGCACGTGACATTGCTTACGGAATTCGTACGCTCTTTTACTATGAGATGACTAAATTTGGTCGTAGTATAACACTAGCTCCGGAATTTCATCTTGAATTGTATAAATTATTTCGCACAAAAACGGGAGCCAAATACGAGAAAATACGACGAACCGATTTATGGCGTCGTATGCAATTGATAAGGGCCAAGACACCGACTTGCACGCATTGGGAAATATTGGAGCGTTGGATGACTATGACGAAATCGTTAGACATACGCGTCGGCTATGTACCTCGTCAGGAATTGTATGAATGTGCTAAGAAGATGAAGATCACAGAACAACCGGCAAAGACTCAGATGCATTGCTTCTGCTTGCCTCCTTGCAGTTGCTATTGGACCGAAAAAGAGACTCGTTTCCCATGGCGTTTGGAATGCCTGCCACATTTGCCACGATTTGATAGTGAAATTGCTATGCCATGCGAGGAGTGTCCCATTGTGTGCACTTGCCGTTGGAGTTCGAAAAAGTATAAACATCGAAGTGTCCTTAGCTGTTTGCAGCAATATTTTCCACAAAAATATGGATCGCCATTCATAAATTCGACTATGAAAATTAATAAATCCCAGGGATATCGCTTATCATTATATTAATATATGACCCTATATATTTGAATTATGCAGAATATAAATGATTACTTTTCATAATATACAATACAACCAATTATTGCGATCACAGAATGTACAAACTCTCATCATTTATCATCATATCAATGTTGGTCTCATATGATCGGGCAACGGATCACCAATTATACATATCTTCTATGCTATCCGATTTATTTTAAATGACATAGTCTTGAAAAGTAGTAATTGAAAAGTAACCGATTAACTAAGAACTAATTTTTAAATGTAATCATCAAAATTTGCTTTTAAAGTATGCTGAAGTCTTCTCATAGCTAACAGGGGAATACATTTCTTATTCATTTTCTAAATCCTTGCCTATCCTAGTATTTTTGCAATGACATGCTATTTAGCATTTTATTAAACTTTAAATAATTGCTTAGGTATTTTTTAAGCGACGTATCATTCCAGTTGCCTTTACCCTCGCTTCTTTTATATGTTTCCTGATGGAAGCTCGCAAAAGCTTAAAATGATGAATCAAATAAGAAGTTTGGATAAAATTCGATTTGTATATGCGGAGTTGTTAGCATTAGTTCAATTGTCTTCTTCACTTTAACTACACGTAATAAAATGTCACGCATGGGACACACATCTGCTTGGCCATGCCAAGCTTAGCTTTGCGTTGGAATCCTTGCACAATGTTGTGCAAATGCAAGTCTTTATCGGATGGGAAAAAATGCAGAGCGCATATCACTTCGGAAAAAAACTGGATTTAAACAAAAATATGTTAAGATGTTACAGTCGAACAAGGTCTGCAAAATTACGTATAACACAGTTCACCTAAATTCGACATAAAATATTATAAATTATGTATTATTTTATTGGATGAAAAGAAGCGTTTTTCAGGAGAAAACGGAGAAGTTAGCGCGGGTGTCCGGCAAGTAGACAAATGTAGTCTAAATGTATATATGTTACCGAAACGATTGGCGAAGATTAACTATGAGAAGGAGTGAGTGAATGATCTACGAAAATAATCTCTTCAATCAAAACAAGTTTTGGACATTTAAGCACTAGAATTAGGCATTCGATGGCTTTTCGATGATCGGGAGCATTCGAGTAAGAATTTTTACCACTGACATAAGTAAAGATCTAATCACCGCCACAAATTTACACAGGACTGCTTGATAGTACATTGGATTGTTTTGTTAAATTACGAGTCAATCGATCAGTTTTCTCTTCAAATTTTTGAAATCGCAACAATTCAAATGCAATCCTATCAACTGTTATGTGACGTCCATTTAAAAATTGAATGATTTACTATGAAAGTGTTTTCCACGCAACTCGGTCCTCTTTCTTCTAAATATTTCTTTTACGTCACAGTACAAAGTAATTAAAACGGGTAAGAATAATGGAGGGACGTGGACCAGCATTAGATACTGAACTTACAAACTAATATAGGAAATTGAATGGAAAAGTTGTTGAAGCATTTTCAAGAGCCTTGGGACAACACATATCGGTGTACCAAAATTCCTTAAAACAACAAGACGGACAGTCGAATGGAAGGATATGCGGACAGGCAGACAAGCTTAGATCGATTTAAAGTGGAATTCTCAATCGATCGGTATATCAAAAGATGGGTCTATCTATCAAGTTCTTCTTGCTGCTTACATACATCCGCATAAATTAAATATATGCTTGTACGTCAAGTGCTGCAGGATATAATTATAAAATATGTTCACGAGTAACTTGTCCATTATCGGAAATTTGAATTGAAACGATGAAAACGGTAAAGGTGTTAAATGCACCAGAATTGTCGCCTATTGAAGGAAAGCTTATAAATGTTTATTTAATATGATATATGGTAGAAAAACATATTAATTCGTTGAAGAAATGATTGTGAGTTGCTTGCGAAGGGGAAAAGCACAAAAGTGAAAATCGCGTGCCGTTATAACTACTTTTACATGGCAAGTATCTTAAGTATTTGTTGTCTTAGCGCGTCTACAGTTTTCTTATTCGTTCTCTTGTTTTATTATTGTTGTTGCGGGATATATAGTAGCGCTTGAAATGGAAAAGTACTTTGTAGACTATTAAATTTTGTTGCTTTTTTCTTCAACCGAGTTATCGTTTACTTATGAATAATTTATTGTATAGTTCTTTGTAAATTAATATTTGTACTATCCGTGCCTTTGTGTAGTCAATAATATGTAAAATGTTTATTTTTTCATTGCAATGAACTTAACATCGATGTTTTTTCTTTTGTATTTTGTATTTTGTATTTACTTAGCCAGCGAAATTGGTTTTAAAACTCTATCAATGTACGTAAATTGTTGTTGGGCAAATTGAAATAAAATATTTTGCATAAATTTGCTCAAAGCTCTAAAGTTACAGTTGCAAAATTCAGGAGATGTATGCGCGTATTCGGACATTGAATCGCATGCAATTGGAGTCTTTAGCTATTGTACCCTTTAAAAAAAAAAAAAAAAAAAAAAAAAAAAAAAAAAACGACTGAAGAGAAAGCAAACTTTTATTACTATTCCTTACAAAAGGTATAAACTACAACAAATAAAATTTAACATAAGTGCATTCATATATTATTTGCAATAAACTTGAGCACGCTCTTGATGACAGGAAAATTATTGTTGCGTTGCAATTTAACTAAAGTGCCGTCTGTTTATTGAGCTATGTTTGCAAGCATGCGTTAAATTTACATGCAAACCATTCGCACTGCACATATACCACACGCTCTATGTGAATAACGTTCGCAATAATACACTTGAAAAAAAAATAAAAAATAAAAAAAAAATAAAAAATAAGAAAAAAGAAAGCTATCTGACCAGAAACTATGCTATCGGTATGCTTATGTAAATTGTTATATACTCATTCACTTTTCGCCTTTCACAGCTACGTTAGTAGAAATATAGAAAATGTAAAGCAATAATAAAAAGAAAATAAAAAAAAAATAAATGAAATTTAAATATAAAACAGTTCAGAGGTAATTTTCATAAATTTCATTTCCTAACGTAAAATATATGACACTGTCGTTTACAATGCGAGAACCTGTCGATAGACTGACTGGTGGTGTCGTGCCGTTCCTGCAACTACTTGAAATTAATATTCTTAATGCCCGAGCAAATACAGAAAACTTTATCAGGTCATCATAACTTTGTAATATTATAGCAAATACACACATATATATATATATATATATATATATAATATATATAAATATAAAACAAAAAAAATAAATATTATAAAAGAGTTTCTTGGAAGTACTTTTCCTTTGTAATTTGTTTTCCCTGCAAAAGCTTTTTAAGTAATTGGAACAAAATTAATGAGACTATAGTTGTATTTTTTTTTTTTTTATTTTTTTTTTTTTTTTTATTTTTTTTAAAATAAAAAAAAAAAGCATAATAAAAAAATATCTTAGTTTTAAGACGAACCTTGGATACTAACCATACACACGTGGTCGGCGAACATCTATCTCCTTTAGCCACCATTTCGACGAAAAAAAAAAAAAAGTTTCGACAGTTTCTTCCTCGCAGCGTGCATGTAGATGCGCATGCAAATTCGAAGAAATGTCAGTTTATTTGTATCAATACCTAAAGTCCATTAACGTTGTAAGGGGCAAAGCCGTACAGAGAGAGGGCTTCTAATAAGAAAAACCGATTTTTTTTTTTTTATACACGAAAGCTGCCCGGTCAAGTCCTGACTACATGTTTTTAGATGAATCTTTCAAATCATAGCTGATTAAATTTCAATAGGCTCTTCCCGATATTTTGGACTCACAAGTAAAGAGCGAATAACGTTCGTAGGCGAAGTTATATATGTAAAAAGTTTAAGAATTCTCTTTCATTTATTACGTAACAATCGAATCGATGGATGGAGGGACACAAATGTGTGCTGACATTGGTTGTAACAAAAAACAGTATTAGATTTCATGAAAGCAATGACAAAAATATTCTAAACTTAATCTTTTGATCATTGATTTAAAGACAAATATGAAAATATTTAGATTGAAACGATTCATCGAATAAATAACTTATGTCTTCTTATTTGTACGACATTTGATCGATCTATTACAGTATTCAAGCGTTAACATAACACGACGATATCCGTTTTGCATATCATTATTATACTTGAGTAAAGAAACTAGCAGCACTTTGAACTCAAAACGTCAGACCTCACACTTACGTAAATATCGGTCAATCTCTAAAGTAAAAGATTTAGAGCTAAAAGAGTGCAGAGAGTAAAATTCAACTTTTTAAAAGAATAACAAACAACAATTGTTCCCAAATATTGACTTACAGCACAAGAGTTAAGTGATTATCATATTTCAATTTAACTTTGTTGCGACATAAGATTATTTTTCTGACTGATGAATAAACTATTAGCCCGACTGTTATTGTTGTTTATTGGAACAAACTAAAAATATTCGCGGAGGAGACAATAATTCATTTTTTTAATAATTTCTCTGGTCTGACAAAATGGCGAACGCTTGATTGGTTCCTATTACTAGTTCTTGTTAATTCATATTCGACTTGAAAATCACTGCGAATTTCTGTTTCTTTCTTTTAAATGATAGTCATACCCATAAACTTATCTTATCGATTAGATAAGAGAATTTAATACAACTAGTTTGCGAATTCCTATCAAAATTCTATGGAATTTATACCTTCTTCAAAGAGTTTTTGAAGCGATTAAAAGACTAAGATTAAGTTAAGTTTATTTTCAAAGTGCAAAAATTTCTCGAACTTTATATATATATATCGAGGTCATTGGATTTTCAAGAACTTTACTAAATACAACATCGCGTCTGGACAAGTAGACATCTGACAGCAAGTTAAGTAAAAATTACTTTATGATCAAAATTACATATATATAATATTTTATGAGAATCTCGCCCACGTATGGGACCCATTGTCGTATTTGGTAGAAGATCTAAGAGATTATATTTGTGTTGAATCAATTACATCGGCATTTAGTTGCCGTTTTCTATTCCTACCCACGAAAGCTTATGCTTGCAACATTGCAAT